GTACGTAGTGTGTGTGTGTGTGTGTGTGTGTGTGTGTGTGTGTGTGTGTGTGTGTGTGTGTGTGTGTATGTGTGTGTGTGCGTGTGTGTGAGAGTGAGTTTTGAATGTAGCGTGTATGAAAAAGTCAGAAATATTCTAAGTCTCGTGCAGCCTTTTTCCTTAATCAAAGCAAAGGCATTCTCTCTTTCTGTTGGGCTTCGTACTGTTGTACATAGCATTGTATAAATAGAAGATATTTACATAGTGACATGCCAGAATGCGGCTTCCTTCTACGGCGAAACTTACCGTTGTACTGTTCATGATTTTAAAAATCAAATAAATACTTGCCTAGGCGCTCCAAGATCAGCGAGGAAAAATGGACACACATAATAACATACAATCTTTTCATTCATAAGACTGAGAACAATTAGTAGGTCAGATATACTGATCAACTTCAGGCTGTTGTGACGATATCGCTGATCAGTGCGTGTAAGACAGGCCAGCAAAAATGAGATATGCGGATCAAACAATCATGATGAAAATCAATAGGAATTTGGAGGTAATACGAGCGCAGCGTTGAAGATGGACTCTGAATCTTTGCACTATTACTAAAAGCACAAGAACCAAACTTTGAAAGAGTACTCTGCTCGCTGAAGCCAGAACATGTGCAATTGCGATGAGACATATGTTCTAAATATACAACAATTGTTGCCAAAGGATGAGCTGAAACGTACTGTCCATGTTATATAAAAGTTCTTTTTTTCCCGAGTAAGATGATTTTATGAAAGTAATGACAACCGCTGTTCCGATAATGGTATATGGTATCATATACCACATGTAACTTTTTTTACCAAACCTTGGAATGTACTATTGCACACGAATAGCTAGGATTTAAAATTTATACAATAAACCTGTTAAAACGTATCAGACACACAACAACATATCTGCAAAAGTACACTTACACACTATCTCATGACATACACATACAGATGACAGATAATCGGTGAGGATATTACATCTCGGCCAAATCAAAACGTACCGTTGAACGTGCCGAAAACTAGCTATACTGCTGAATTGTTGTGTTGATATACCAGTGTTCTATAGCAAATCTGTCGTATTAATTGTTTCGTTAGTTTGCAAGCTCCTCCTCGTTGCGACTTCATATACTTACGACAATTCAATCGCCTTCCATGATTTCG